ATCTGTGGTCTCAGAAAATTTGACCACGTGACTCCGCTTCTGAGAGAACTTTTAAGTCTCCATTTCTAAATGTAAGACTTGAGAGTCACTGAGCATAAATATCGAGAATCGAGGGGCCGTAAGGGGGTTTTCCGTGAAACGTGATCGGTTGTCTTTAATTGCCGTAACTCGTGATTGTAAAAAGTTAAAAGCCGTGAACTTTGAACGATCTAGTGTCAGTCGTGATGCGTGAAACAAAGAGACCATCTTCCGTTATCCGTGATAACTGAAAAGAAAATACAGTTTTTTCGTGAAAAATTACTTGCCGAAAATATATATATAAATTTTTAAAAATATATATACATATATATTTAAAAATTCAAACTGACTAAAATGAAACACACCTGATTCCCTGTAGCTCTGAGTTTAGTGCTTTCGCACTTAGTAAGTACGATCCCACTAGTTCACAGGTTTCCGCACCGTCATACAAGCCCATTGTAACATCAAATGAAGTTGTTGAATGCTTTTTGTTCCATGGGGTGTTGTCGTTGAATAGAAGTGATTGCTTGGAGTCAAAAGTGGGATCGTACTTACTAAACCAACTATCAGAAAACATCAGAAAACAAATAGGCTTATACAGGGATGCCGGCCTGGGCGCATTCCAGCAAATACTCATTTACATGTGTAACGATGTGTAATTTACACCGGCTGTAGTGCTACAGTTGTAGGTTACACTTGTAAGACACCTTGGACTACACGTGTGAATTTCAGTGCACAAAATGCTGTTATTGAATTGATGTTTTCATAAATTGGACTTTACATGTCCAATTCACACTTGTAAAATATAAAAGTGTAAAAGTTTTAAACTTTTAAACTTCTAATCTTAAACTTAAACTTCTAAAACTTCACGATCATATCAAACTTCAAACTCTTTACTTCATGCACCAATTCTTTATCGGTGAATTACCGAAGATTTTTTACTCATTTTTTTTAAAACTTCAGATAAGCATAATGTTAACACTCGCTTTGCAACTAGGACTACTTTTTATGTTCCAAAAATTCCAACAAACTATGGTAAATTTAATATTCGATTCAATGGACCTATATAATGGAATGGAACCGATGTGAGATTTAAGATTCTAACGCCCTATTCATTCAAAAGAGAATTATCTTACAATCTATGCATTTCATTAATTTGTATTAAGTTTTATTACTAAATGTTATGTTTTGGTGTTTCTGTTATTTAGTTATTTATTTCATTTACTTTTTTATTGTATACATTATTTGTTCTGTAATCTATTTCCTTAATAAGATTTTAAAATGTAAAATGTAAAATGCCTCTTTTCTGACCTTATATTTATTTTCAATTAATATATGATGGTCACCCACCTAGTTTAGCTCTTTAGTTATTTTGGATGACCAGCAACTGTATGTATTTTTAATTTCTTTCTCGTTTAATTTGTAACTAAGGTAATTTTACCATTCAAACATGATAAACCTTGTCTTGTCTTGTCTTTTATTGAATTGACCCCAAGGATCAATTTAAGAAAACTTTTACACTCGTACTCTACAAGTTGGAGTGTTGTTTTCACAAGTACAGACAAAAACGAGTTAAATAAACATCGTTACAAGTCCAGGTTACAAATGTCCGACTTGCATTTACCAGAGTCCCACTTGTAAATCATACGTGCAAAATACATTTCTCATGTCACTTGTAAACATTGAGTACTTCTCCTGAAAAAGGACATTGTAGCGTCACGATATGGCATCTCCTAGGTAAGAGGAAATCGACGAGCTGCTATGACGTCAAATTATCTTCAACCTAAAAATTTCCGTAAAAGAGAGCTTTTCGACATCGTAAATCCAAGGGAACTTCGAGAGCAGTTTCGTCTGCCTGTGGACGCTTTCGTCCACCTTTTGGAATAATTAAGCCTGCGTTTGCAGCATAGAACAAGACGTGACAGAGCACTTACAGCAAAACAGCAACTCTTCGTATTCCTTCCATCACCTAATGCACTCTTGCCATGTGGTATCTCCACATCAACAGTATGGCACATCATTCATTGCGTTTTCCCTGCAATACTAAGCTTTAAGCGGGAGTTGATACGATGGCCTGGTTGAATAACATTTGGTATTACTTTACGCTTTGTTGAGCTCAGCAAAATTTACACAGTTTCCACGTTGAGTTTTATATTTTTTTTACTAGCGTTGGCACAAAAAACTTGATAAAATAACGACGGGCAGCGCAGAGTCCGTTTTAATTTTTTCGTCAAATTTCTTCAGTCTTTGATTCTCGATTTTTTGAAAAACGAATAAAGGCTGAAAGTTTCTAAAGAAACTGTGGTGCTGCGTCGGTGGGGGGTAATAAGGTAATTGGTTATATCAACTAAGTTGAAATAGTAAATTGGCCACCGTAACGAATA